ACCTGGGGAAAAGAAACTCATACGCCTCTTCAGTGAGTCCTTCCTTCCTCACTCTTATGGTCTTGTTTCTTTTAATTAGAGGAGAGTAATGGGGGGAAAATCAGGACAACTGTAATAGCACAATCAATAAAATAGAATCTAAAAAAAGAGAGATTAAGAAAGACAAAAATGAAACATGAGAAAAAAGGCCAGGAGAGAAAAAAAAACCCTCACTGAAATAGTTCGGGGATTTACTTTTTTTTTAATCCTCAGAAAGTCCCTCCTGCTACCTGGTTTCTAAAACAGAGGATAAACAGGGATGACATCAGGTTGGACAGCACTGGCTGTCTCGCCGCCAGGGGCTCCCGGCAGGTGTGAGACTGACAGGTTGAGAAGAGATGACACTATTTCTATCCTTAGAAGATGATAACCAAGGAAGAGAAACGACAGCAGAGGCTGGGCGCTGGGAGTGGCGGGAAATCTGACACCCTCCCAGCCGCTGTTGGCCCTTTGGGTGAACTCTGCTTGTCTACGTGGGGTGACGTGGAGCCCCCCTTCCCGGCTGGCGTTGTCTGCTCCTCCATCTCTCAGGCATCACAGTACATACCCACCACCCACCCCCGTCCCCCAGGGAACAGGAAGGTGGGGTTTCAGCTACATTAGCTTCATGGAGGCTCCCTGCACCGGACTTTCCAAACCGAATTTTGAAATCCACTCGCTGTGGCCGTGGCTTTGGCTGGACCCTTGCAGAGTGGGAGGGCCTTCCCCCGACCACACACGTCTCACACATCTCGGCCGAGCACTTGGCCAGCCAAGCTGCGTCGATGGCACCGAGGGTACGGATGCCAGAAGGGAGGGACTCCACCCCCAGTGGCTGGCTTAAGAGACCGAATGAGTCACGATGCCTGACCAGTGACCATCATGTCCCAGGGTGAAGTGGGAGGCCTGGGGACAGAGCCCGATGCAGAGACACAGCCACGGTGACTCACATTTAGACCTGAGGGCAAGTTCCATCCCCTGGATAGCTCTGCACCCGTCCCTGGGTGAGGTCATCCCCACTGCTGCTCAGAACAGGGCACCGGCTGCCTCTGCACTCTCCTCTGCGGTTCGGGCAGCCATCATCATTCTAGCCACAGCACCTCTCCCTGCCCGCCACACACACATGATGGATGGACCTGAGGAAAGAGTGTGTCCTCCCTGGGCGTCAGACTTTTTGTCCTTGAAAATAGCTCTTGCTCCCGATGATCTCACACAGGAGCCTTTGGGGCACAAAGGTCGTGGCTATGAGTCCTTCGAATGGAAGTGTGCCATGCCAGTGCAACTGGGTGACACTGCGATAGTCCGGACTATGACTGCCGCTAGTGGACCCAGACATCGGGCCGCCATCTCCCTCCATGTCCCGGGGCCACTAGTCTGCGAGTAAAAGAGTGCGTGGCACTGGGTAGGAGAGTGTCCCCAACAGAGCCAGTGGCCAGGAGCTGGGTGAAGTCACTGGGAAACATACTCATGCTTGGGAGAAAGAGCATGACGACACTCCTACACTTGTCCCACGGCTCCCTGCAGTGGTCAAGTCCCACACTGCTGGAGAGAGGAGGAAGAGGAGAAGAAGGAAAGAAGGCTGCCAGAAAACTAGGAGAACCCCTAAAGGGCTTCCAGGAGACCACCAGGCATGTCCATGAGTAGCTGAACCACTCCGTGGTGTGATAATGTCACCGTTAAGTGACCTGTAACAGCAGCCTGTATGCCCCACTGTCCTAACACAATTAGAACAGAAAAACGGGTATCTGTCATTCTCCCCCTATAATGTTTCCTACTCCCTTTATTATTCCTCCTCTCTTTCACTTCTGTCCTTGCTGCCGAGCCTGCAGCCTGCAGCCTGACAACGTGACCCCTGGTGGCTTTGCAGGCAGGAAGGAGAGGAGACAGACTCTCATATGAAGCCATGATTGCAATCCAAGAGGCTATCCTAAATGAGGCAGTCACAGCTATTGAGAACCAGCCCCCGGGGAGTTTCAGCATGATTTTCAGCCCATTGTCACCATCAAGGTCATTCTATGGTCCTGTGTGTGCGAGTGGGCAGGTGAGGAACAGGCACTGTCAGTGCACCCTGCCCCTTGGCTACCATATCAGCCCCTAGGAAGTCCGATCACAGCTCACTTTGCTCAAAACCCTGCTATCCCGTGGCTCCCAGTTCCCCTGGTGGAAAAACTTGCCTCCGCCCCCACCCCACCCCACCCCCCAGGCTGTCCCTGGTCCAGGCCTCATCCACGTGTGCTCAGCTCCCCCTGCCCCTGCCACGAGCTCCAACCCCACCGGCACTCTTGTCCTCAAACGCCCCAGGTACACCCCTGTCTTGGCCTTGAGGTAGCTGCTCCTTCTGCAGAAAGCTCATAGCCAGATGAGCTCAGGGGTCACCTTCTCAATGAGGCGCCTGCCCTATTCAGCGCTGCCACCTGTCCCCACTCTCTGCCCGGCATGCCTGAGCCCGCTTTCCAGCTCTTTTCTATTTTCCTCCACAATGCTTTCACCTTCTCATGCACTAGATGCTCCACATCATCACCATTTTTGCTGTTTATCATCTACCCTCCCCCACTGGAAGGCAAGGTCTGGACAGCAGGATCGTGTTCTCTGCCGAGCACGGTCCTGGAATGTAGCGGGCACCCAACAACCAACCGTTAGATGGATGAGTGAATGAATGAAGAGGAGTCACTGCCATTCCGAAGGGGACAAGGGCTGTGTACCTTAAGGAATGGTGTTCAGCTTCGGGTCACCTAAGGAGGGAGGAAGGAGGGCTGGCTGAGGCAGAGGGGCTGTTTTCAGAAAGTCAGTGCCCATACCTTTGCTTGGAAATCCCCGGGGAGTCACTCATTAACTCCCCTCCCCCGCCCCACACTGCCGGCCAGTTACCCAAACCCAGGCAGCAGAGAAAGAATCATTTAAGCAACCGACTCTCCTTTCCAGGCCCATCCTCCTACCAGGTAATCCACACCACTGTCTGAGCGCCGAGTCTGTACGGGATCCTGAAATGAGCAGTGAAAAAGGATGGGGTGAAAGAAACACCCAGGTAGCAGATAACAAGGCCCATTCCCGGCCCCACCTGCTCTCACGGCACTGGCTGGGGACACGATGTGCCAGGTGAAGGAGTGGACAGTGGCATGGCCCCTGTGGTTGCGGGGGGTTTGAGAAGGTGAGGCACACAATGGTGACATGGGGCAGGGGTGTGCACGGAGGCAGGGGGCAGAAATATTCCAGTCTTGGGGGCAGGATGCAAAGCCAGTGAGCTGGGCTGAAGGGACTCAAACCGAGTGGGGAGAGATGGGCAATAGGGCAGAATGCCCAGTGAGATGTGGTGCTGAGACAATAAAGAGCAACGATAGGGTTTGTTTGTTTGTTTGTTTTAGCAGAAAGTGACATGATGCACACTGAACTTGAGAAAGAGGCTTAGGAAAATACACAGAGAATGACTCTGGGAAAGAGAGGCTGGAAGTGCATGGGTTGAAGCCCCTGGCGGGCATCCCATCAGCCACTGCCACAGTCAAGGGCAGCAGGGCGGCTGCGAGGAGGATCAAATCAGAAAATCGCTGTGGAGTACTGTCAGGACCCGTGTTCCAGTGGACGGAGGAGTGAGCCCCACTGGCCACCGTCCTTCCAGTGGATCCACGTGGAACAGGACAAAGCAGGAGGGAGGAAAACTCAGAGACAAGGCTCATGAAACCCACAACCTCCCCTGACCCTGTAATACCACAGGGTATTACATCACCAACTTACAGATGAGAAAACTGAGGCTTTGTAATTTACCCAACATCATATCCAGACTAATAAGAAAAAGAAAACCTGACATCTACTGTGTGCTTATTATGTCCCACGCACTGAGCTAGGCACCTCACCCCGTGCATCCTCTCACTTCCAGTCACAACACAGCAGAGATTGCCTTTATTATCCCCGTATTACAGATGTGGACACCAAAGGCTATCCACCTGCGGTCACCAAGGGAGGAAACAGTGGAAGCAGGATGTGAACCCAGGTTTTCCAGGCCCATACTCTTTACCCCTGTGCTGGACTAAGAGTGGACGATTCGCAGCATCACCTGCCCAGTTCTAAAACGCTGCTGAGCATCACACAGCACCCGGGCTCTCCCAGGCTCCATGGGAGGAAGGAACAGAGGTATTTTGCTGCCTCCAATCATGCACGCCCACATTCTGAGCTGCCAGCTACCTGCTGTATTGACACGTACCTATGAGCCAGGCTTACAGCCAGAGGGCGACTGCTGTGGATGGTGGGGTCTGGACAGCTATGGGCAAATCCTACTCTTTCAAGTCAGAGAGTGGCCCTGGGCCCAAATCATGCTTTATTAGGACCAGACATCCATCCACAGTGTTCCAGTAAGCCTTGAAATCCCCTTTAATCCCGCAATCAGTCTCCGAGCTCCTGGAGGTCAGCAGGTGCAATCCATACGTTTCTGTTTCCTAGACCTGCAGGCTTTCAGCCGCCCACCTGAAGGCTCTCCCTGCACACTTCCGGACGTCTGTGCCCTGCTTCGGACCCTGTGTATAGAGACCGGGTAGTAGGAGCAGATGCACACGAACCAGGCAGCTGCAGCAACGCACCATCACACAATGGAGAGAGGACACAGCGCCAGTGCGGGCTCCAGCTTTGAGTCCTGGCTCCTTCGCTAATTAACTGCGCAATGTTGGGTGAATGACTATACCTTGGTTTCCTCATCTGTAGATTGGGTGTAAGATGACCGACCTGCTAGGGCTATGAGAGGTGACAATGAGTTCATCTAAGTAAAAGCCGCAGGAACATAGCCTGGCTTGAATCGATCGTGATGAATATATATATATATATATATATATATATATATATATATATACACACACACACACACACTGCTTATTAAGCTGTGTGGCCAAACCTCCTCTGATGGCTGCTGCCGGCCAGCCCCTGCTCTGGGCTGAGTGCAGGTGTGTTAGGGATGTCGGGGCAATACAGCTGCAGACAAGCAGCTGTGCCCTGATTACCTTTTGTGCTCAGGCTCGCCTTCTCTCTTGTCCTTTCTTGGTTCAAAGCACCTGCCCAGGTTGGCCACCAACCTGATTTCACCTGGAAAAAGAAGGAAAGCGAGACCTCAGGAAACAGAATCATGAAACTTATCTTCCAACTTAAAACAGAGAGGGAGTGGTCTCCGAACATCAGCCAGCCTCCCAAGGATGTAGGCGTTTAACGGCTGTTTATTCTTCAGCACAGGCTAAAACCACATTAATCCAGAATAAAGGGAGCAATCCATCTCCCATGTCAGTTGTGGACATAGCAAACTGCAGACTACTTTCCAGAAATACAGGGTTATCCTCATAATGAACTAGCCCTTGAACAAACTCTGATGGAAATGGATATTACACTAGGTAGTGATTTTTTTCAAGTTATAACAAAACTTAAATTCACAATGGAACTTTACTACACGATAATCTATTGCCACGGTTCTGAGTTGTTCTGCTTTTATTGAGTCTTTTACTCACAGGCTACTATTATACTATATTTCTGAGTTTTTCTGTGTTCTGACCTTATGATATCTGAATTCATTAAATGGGATACGTAACACAGGAGGAACACCCAACTCTGTGCCCAGCCCCTATTGTACACTTACTACATCGGCTGTGCTTTTATTAATTTTATTCCTTTTTATGGGTTTCCTCCATGCTATCCATATAATTCCTGAGAAGATGTGCACAGTTATCGGCATAGTTGCTGTTCCTGCTAAAATATTTAATCTTTAAATCCGACCTCTGTTCAACCTAATTCAGACACCAGGAAGAGTAGTATTTCAAAAGGTGTTCAGAGATAATAGTGCCTTTCTCTGTCTCCCCATCATTAGGCTCAAAGCAATCACTCCAGACCCTTAGTTTGGCAAATGAAAACAGAGAGAAGAAAGAAAAAGGGGAAAAACAATACCATCAGATTTGAAACAGAAAACTTGTAACCTTCACTCACAAGAGGAAGGATTGTCTGGGTGGCGTTTTGTTCCTTTGGAGTGCGCGCACACCTCGCCTCGGGGCTGGGGGCCTCCTGCGTTTTCTAGAGTTACCAAGGACAGGGGCCGGGCGGGTACTCTGCAGCCACCCCTGAATCAACCAACCCCGGCCACCACCGGCTAGGGGTCCCCTTGTGCTCCAGCCCCCTTTCCACCAAACCTGGGGACACAGGTAGGCTGGGCCCGGCTTCCTCTGCCACACGCATGAACTTACCCCGGGACCAACCTCAAATGCAATACAGGGCTCTTGACCCCGGCAAAGACCTTGACAATTCCAGCTCCAGTGAGAACTGTACAACACTGGGGACCTAACTAGACGAGCTGCAAATGCCAGAAAACTCAAAAAGAAGCAAGCAAAACCACCAGACACCCTCCGAGTCCCACTCTGACACCAGAATGGAGTCCCGTTCCTGTTGCTGCTTCATACAAAACTGCGCCAGACCCCAGCTCATGTTCGGTTTATTGGGTGCAAAGCATTCAGTAAGCTCATCGTGGTTGCAGCCTTATCCTTCCAGGGGAGATAGGAAACTTCACACAAGTAAATCTAAACTCACCCGGCCCCATGACATCCCAATCCACTGATGAGTAGCAGACACTGGGGATGAGATTAGTGGGAGACTGGCAGGGGTCTTCTGTAAATCTGATGGTGGGGGGAAGATGAGGAGGTGAGGGAGGGCTCATACTTGAGCAACTGGAAAATCATGCTGAAGCCTGCCTGGGTCCTGGCCCCAGCAGAGCTCATTGGTACTAAGTGTAGTCTGGCACTGTGTTCAATTTTTTAAAATTATTTTAAAATCAAGTTTAAATTAAAGCCAAGTAAGTCTAATATGCAGCAAAGATTGAGGATCATCTGGAGATCTTGTTAAAATCCAGATTCAGTGGTCTGGGGTGGCAGCCTAAGATTCTGCATTTCTAACAAGTTCCTGGGTGGACCCAATGCTGGTGGTCCAGGAACACGCTGTGAGTAGCAAGGGCTTGGAAGGGATGCCCTCAAACACCCCCTTACATCCCCTTCCTGGAATCTCAGACACACTGACCCCACCCTGCTCTCCAGCCAGGTCTTTCCTCTCTGGGCTGCAAACCAGCACCCCTCCTGTAGGCCCCGGACACCTGTCAAGCCTTCTGGAACAGCAGGTGGATAAGGGAGACACCACTCACATCCCAAGACACAGCTGCCCTCTCCACTCGCTCCAGTACTCAGTTCTAGGCAACCCAACCTCTAGAATGACTGCATCAAACAGGATGGTTACTTTCTGCTCTACGACAAGTAGAAATAAATGGAAGTTTCTGCTCTTCCCCCTTTGCTTTTCCCATCGGCATGGACATCCAGGGCAGGAGGAATATGGGCCTCCCGGATCCCTGGGTCCCACCTCTCTCCCCTCACACTCTGGTTTCACCATCCGCCATGTGGAGTCTATGGGGTTGCACACATGCCTCCCGATGCTGTGCCCGTCCTCTGTGTGAACTGCTCTAGACAGGGAGTGGACGACGGCATTCCGACAGAAGCAGGCCAACAGCAGTACGCACACCTGTCCCCAAATATCCCTCCCTTCCCATCCTTCCCACCTGACCAGTCCATTCCAGACATCTCCGGGGATGCCCTCAGCCAAACACCACCTAGTGGTTCTCAGCCCAACCAAGATGGAAGGGACTGCTCTTCCCGCACACCTCCGAGGAACAAAAGGCCCAGCAGGCGAGGCCACGCGAGGACGTTAGCCTGGAGCGTGTTCTCTCCCACACCAGCTCACTCCCTGCTCCAAAGCTCCACCATGCCCACAGCACGAGGCCACACGCTGCGGAAGACCAGGGTGTGGAAGGAGACGTGGGACGGGACGTGGGATTTCAACACTTTATGAGGGGAGTGACTTCTACAGAACAGGCCCCATAGCTGTCAGGACGCCAAACCACTGGGTCCCACTTCTAGGAAGGAGCCTACCTACAGCCGACACACCCACTACGCGGTGACCAAGACCCACAGTGCTTTTAAGGGCCCATGAGAATGTTCCAATTTCCTTTATAATCAGACAGAACTAAAGGAGTGTCATATAAATGCCCATGGAGCAATGAAGGCAGCCTGGCTGATACTCATCCTTACACCACTGCAGTCATAAAATATAATTTTAATATCTTTTTTTATGGAGGAAGGGGCTCACGTAGACAAGAGTGGCAGAGATCTCGAGCATAATTCATCCCTGAACCTGCCTCCTTCCTTCCAATCTCCGAATTTGCCAGCCTTCATTCAGACTCCTTGTGGAATACCCCCGGTTAATCCTGATCCCCGCCTGAAGACCCTCCCCTGACGGCCTGAGCTTCTGCACCGCACCCCCACCCCGCCCCCACTCTGGCTCTGTTTCAGCCTCCTGTGTTCCATCCAGGCAGACGCTCCAGCAGCCCCGCCCCCGCCTCGCGGAAGCCGCAGCCAGGTGGGGCAGAGCAGGACCTCTATGTCCAAACACACACCCTCAGCCCCCTGCAGCATAAACACGGAGCACACCTCACACCCAGGCCTATAAAAGATAATTATACAATCTCATCTGGCAAATTAGAGCCACGGAACTGTCTAATTCATACAATGAATTCGAGGGTTGGATCAGCAGGAAGAATTACCCTGGATCTTTATTGGGACTTGCCCCCAGGTCAGGATTAGGGTTTATTTATCTTTTTTATTTTCTTGCTGGGGCACAGGGGGCAGGAAGGGCCTTCTCTGCTGCTTGTCTCTCCCTCTCCCCACCCCATCCCAGTCTGCCATTTGGATAAGCCAGGTACCCAGTGCTCTTCCCTACAAAGTACTCAACTCCAGCTAGAATTAAATGAAGCACCAACAGGAAGAAATGATGGATAGACGGATAAATCAGTAAATACATTTTCACAAAAGAAAAGTTGGGGTGTTCCAAACCCAAACTAAGGGCTTCATCAATTGGCATTAACTCAATACAGAATAAACAATCAAACAAACAAACAAACCCTGACGTGCCCAGATAACAATTTCTTTGCTAATTATTCTGGCCCAGCTCTGAAATGTTTACTTGGAAAACACTCACTTATACACATTTCTTTAAACACCTCTCTGTCTGCCCCTCTCTCTCTCTTCCCCTATCCGAGAAGTCTTGCGAGAGAAGAGGGCTATTTACAGTAATCAGAGCCCATCTCCTCAGCTCGAGAAGTAGCTAGATCACCCCAGAGTGGTTACCACAATGCCGGGACAAGTCGACACCACGCGAGGATCATCCTGCATTCTAACCAAAGCAAACACTAAAAAGAACAGCAAGCCTTTTCCCCTACGCAGACTCCTAAGTCAGCCCTGCAAAGGAGCACGTGCCCTGGGCCTGGGGGACAGAGCCCTGGCCTGTACAGAGGTATTTGGCATCAACACCTTAGTAGGCTCCTGCAAACAAAGGTCAGTCTGAGAAATGAGGCTGTGAGGTGTGCAGAGGCCGAGGCAGCTCAGTCCACGTTTAAGGCCAGCACAATCAATGCACGGAATTATTTAGATGAGCCTCTCTATGACCCTGACCTTGCACAAAGAAAGTGTGTGCTGTGCTGTTCTAGGCTTGCATAGGGGACCTCCAGTATGTCTGCCCTTTCACCAAAGTGGCATGAACCCCCCTTTGAATGAGGGCTTGTTGTATGTAGGCAACCGCACCTCGAAAATCTCTGTACGGGGAGTGTATGTGTGTGTAGGCGTGTGTATGTGCATCTACTCCAGGATGCTGATCTTAAGGGAAAATAAACCAGTTCTAAACCACCGCTTCTGACTTAAAATAATGGAGATGTGGTTTTCTTGTGCCTAGTCCATCGGGACGCAAGGTGACCCAGTTCAGAGTGGTGGGCAGGCAGGATGGAACGTGCAAACTTACTGTCAGCGGGGCTGCAATCTTTGTGAACACTTGCAGCCAAATCTCAGACTCAGATTCCAAAACGGCTGAGACAAGCATGCACTTTTTGGAGGGAGATAAACACCCCGTCTGTGCCGACTGTGCTGAGGAGTCTGGGAAAAAGAAGGCAGGCAGCAAAGAAAGTGCCCCTCTCCCCAAACAGTGAATACGGTGACCTGGGGTTCATCCCGAACTATCCA